GAGAGAGAGAGAGAGAGAGTTTGGCCACCATGGTTTGTTTTGAAATCCTATTATCAAATGTATTTTATTTTGAAAGTCTTAAAAAGTATTTTGCAAAAGTGTATCATAATAATAATAATAGTAATAATAATAATAATAAATCAATCAATGCAAATGTGCAATTATCAGTGTTTTCCTGATTTCAAGGGGGAAAAAAATAAAAATACAAAATCCTAGAAAAATAAGTAAAATTATTTTACATGTTAAATAGTGAGTTTACCTTAAAACATTTTTTGTTTTATTTAATTTTTTATAAAATACAGTTTGGCCACCATGTTTTGTTTTGAAATCCTGTTACCAAATTTATTTTATTTTGAAAAATGTATCAGACAAAAATACAAAATATTGTCTGCCCACCACATGTTGTTTTGTTTATTTTTTTTTTACATTTGTATTGTTTATTTATTTATTTATTTTTTTTTTTTAAACCTTGTTACCAAATTTATTTTTATTTTATTTTGAACATTTTGAAAGTCATAAAAAGTATTTTGCAAAACATATTAGGAAAAAAAAAAACACCACAGCAGCCTGTTTTGTTTTGCTCAAAACCACTGTCCATGACAGTAGCTTAAACTACCAACGTAGTTACATGGGATCTCATTAGCATTCATAGGTATTTGTATATAAAGTGTAGTTTTGTTTATTTTTATATTTTATTTTATTTTGAAAGGCTTAAAAGCCTGAAAAAAAAAGTACTTCAGTTTGTTGTTTTGCTAAAATATATGAGTGAGAAGGTGCTTTTTTTGTGTTTCATTTTGTTTGAAATACCAAAATTGTATCCCTGTGTCCCAAAACCCTGCTTTGTGTGAAACACACAATACCAATATAATTAATCAAACTAATTCTCTGGCAAATACATCTAGGTCTAATGCCCATCTACAGCTCAAAACCACAGTCCATGACAACAAAAGGCTTTCAGGCAGCACTCTGTGATGCAGGCTGCACCTTTGACAGAGACAGACAGAAGCACAGATTTGGGGTTTCGTCCCACTGGAATGATGATGTTTGTGTTTGCAAACATGCAATCAGTCAGCGCTAATGGCAGCTGAACTACACCCTAATCTTTAATCGACTGGCTAATTAGAAAACATCATGCAAATTGTGTGGTAATTACATCTTAATCGTGCCGTGATTGGACGAGTGGAATATGCAAGCGATAGAGAGCAGGGAAGAAAAACACATGCTGCAGATGTTTGTCATGTCAGGCTGTTGTAAAACTCTTATTGTTTTATATAGCTCATAATTCTTAATTACGGACAACCCAACACATATTAAATGTGAAGTGTGGAATTTCTTCCCCACTACTGGCATAGAATGGAATAATAACAGAAATAATGACTTTTTGGGCTGGTGGGGATACACAAACAAACATGTTTGAAATCTCTGCATATTATTGCAATAGCTGTTGTGAGGTGAGTGGATAAGGTCGTACCCCACAGCCGAGTCCATTCCCCAACTCACAGCGGACTCTCCTGCCATCATCCACAGGAAGCAGCCCAGCACCACATCCTGGAGCGGGACACAGAACTCCTCCCATCTGAAGAACACACTCCTCCGCCGCGTATCGCTGGTAGCGCTCATACTGGAAAACAGAGATGGACTGAGACTAAAAAACAGCCTAGTAATGGTAACAAGGGATAGCTGACCCAAAAATTATTCATCTTCATGTCATTCCAAACTAAATCAAAGAAGATATTTTGAAGAAAGCCCTTTGACTTCCATTGCATGGACAAAAGACATTTCCCAAAATATCTTCTTTTATGATCCACAGAAGAAAGATTATACACTTTCCAATAAAATAAGTAATTAAACCCATTTAATATTACATATGAAATAATAATCTGATAAAACATTATTATTATTTGAATGAATTAAAAAAAATAATAACAGTTTATTGAAAAGAAGTTTGCATATGTGTATTTTGTCGAGTATCAATTTCATACAGCAGGCTTTTATGACTCATATAGTATGATATAGGAGAATATGGAGTTCATATTGGAGGAAAAAAAAACAAAAAAACATCTCAGTTTCATTCAGAGTCCCAAACTGAGCAAAAATATGAAATTTGGGGCAGTTGCTGGTATTTACATGGCCAAAAAGGAAGATGAAATTTTCGACTTTCATAAAATGCATGTCTCCCAATAATATGTCACAGTAAGATGATATTTACATGTTTTCTAAATGCTTCATTTATGATCAAAGCTCTAGTTTTTTGTTGTGGGGCAAAACATATGCAATACAATGATGATTGAAAGATGAACAAATAAACATTCCTCAAAAGCCTGATATATAATTTTTGATACTCACATTTTAACATGATTTTTCTAAAAAAAAAATATATATATATATATATGTATGGATAATCAAGTAAACCTAAGTTGCTTCAGTCAAGTAAGGGTTAATCTTGAAATTTTACTAACAATATAAAAGTTGTTCTTATGTTCCTTGATCATTTAGAGGCCTTAGGTAACTAATCATCTGTCAATCAGCATTTGCCCTAAGACACAAGAAATATTTTACAATCCCTGAAATTAGTTCAAGTTCAAGTTCAAGGTGCTTTATTGGTATGACATTTGTGTTACAGTATTGCCAAAGCATTTTAGATGTGTACAATACAGAATATGATTACACCATCAAAGTAAAAAATTAGACAAAAAATGAGTAATAAATAAGAGAAAACAAATGAATAAATACAATTAAATAAAAAATAACAACAGCAGACAGTATTTCTAATATTAATTAATAATTACAATGAAGAATGTCAAATAAAGCAAATGAATTTTGTATGGTGTGTAAGGTGTATACATATTTTGCAGCTAGTTTGACTGCCATCTCATCCTCTCCGAGTATATAGCGGAGTTTCACTGAGTCGTCCAGAGAAGAAAAAGAACAATTCAATACTTCAAATTGTGAAAAGAATATTTGCCTTGCATTTGGGGCAGACAAGAAGAAAGTGTTTCTCATCCTCTATTTGATTTAAGGTACAGTGCTTGCATAGTCACTGTTCTCTCAGTATCCAAGATTTATTATGTCTTCCTTTCTCTATTTCTAAGTTGTGGTCGCTGAGTCGATATTTTGAAAGGATTTGTCTTTCTTTTAATTGTTTGATTGATAAGTAATTTGCCAATTTGGTGGTTCTAGTTAGGGCCGAATAACACTGGAGTTTGGTTTGGAGGTCAAATTAGTTTGTTAATTTTTCATCATAATTATACTTTAGATTTTTGTCAATGTCTTTATGAATGTTGGGGTTGCGGTTGGAGTCAGACTCAGCTTGAGTTTCTTTCATTAGTTGAAGCACGAGTATATTTAGAGGATGAGACACTGTGTGGGATTCATTGGCAAGGAGGGCTTTATATCGAATAGATTCAGTGACAGATTTGAACAGTTTTTTTGTATTTCAATGTGTAAGGGGTATAGCCCAGTTCAGCCCTGCAGGCATTGCTAGAAGTGCCTCTGTTTACCCTTAGAATGTTTTTTGCAAATTCCAATTGTGTTCTTTCTATTAAACTTTTATCCCAATTTTCAAACTTTAATACTGGTCCCCAAATTTCACTCCCGTACAGTAGAATTGGTTTAATAATTGCGTGATATAATTTGATCCACGTTTTAATTGGTCATTTTAATTGGCCAAACCGTGATTTTATGGCATAAAAAGCCCACTGGGCCCTCTCAATCAAGGCCTTCACAGCCAGACTGAAGCCCCCTGATGCTGAGATCTCAATGCCCAGGTAAGTGTAGCTGGAGCTGTGCTCTAGGACTTCTCCTCTGTAACTGAACTGGTATCTGCTTCTCTGAGACCTGGCCTTCTTCTGGAACACCATGACCCTGGTTTTGTCCAGGTTGACCGTCAGTGCCCATTCCTCACAGTACTGTTCCAGCAGGGCCAGGCTGTGCTGGAGACACTCAGCTGTGTGAGACAGCAGAACCAGGTCGTCTGCATACTGCAGGCATATTAATTCATTTCTCTCTCTCACTCTGTGCGGGTGATGTGTGTACGTCATTGAAAGCAGCACATTAATATAGAATGGTGATTAAACTGACTTGGAACTACCTGTGCATTAAATGGTTTTATTGCATACCTGCCAGCTAATCAGAATCGAGTTTTGCAGACAGACTTTCAAATTTTTTAAAGAGATTCCAGAAATTGTTTTGGTCTACTGATTCATCGATTTCATCAATTTTAGCTTCATAATACTGATCTCTTTTGTTGCAAATGAGCTTTTTATAATTTTTCAAACAGTTGGAGTAGGCGAGCCGTAGCGTCTGATTGGCCGGTTCTTTATGCTTTTTGTTAGCAAGCCGTCGAAGGTCTTTTCTGAGACAATTGCATCCCTTATCAAACCACATATTCTTTTTTATTTTTTGTTTGTTTATTCTATGTTTGTTCTGTTGTTTAATGTTAGATATAGTGGCCAAAGTTTGAAATATACAATTAAGATTGGATGTTGCTGAGTTTATCCCATTAGTATCTGGAGTGAAATCTGTGGACATAAAGTCGTCCAGCATTTTTAGTATTGCAGAGCTGCTCATGCTTTCTTTGAATTGTTCAGCGTTAGATTGGTTCCAGCTGAGTTTTGGTTTTAAGGGGAACAGTTGTTCATGTTTGAGGGGAGTTCTGACCCTGTCACAGGACTGGTTCAATCCCAACAGGACAAGAGAGAGTGAGATGAAGAAGATGCACACAGATGTCAGGAGAGGCCACTTGCCACAACATGTTCGGAAGCATAATGACAGAAACATCCCTAATGGTGCTTTGCAAAAGTGTTGGATAACAGCTCCAAAAACGTGGTGAAGACGGTAGGAAGAATGAGGAAACGTGTTGAGAGGATCCCTTTCCTCACTGCAAGGATGGCTGGTGTGCTGGTACGGAGCTGAGGTTTCGTTGCGAGCGAAGGGTTTAGTGAATAGCACGGGGGAACAGCAGACGGGCCAATTAAGAGCCTCTCGCATGTGACGATCTGACAATCAGGATGAACTTGGATTTCTCATGAGCCGTGATCAGGACAGGGAAGGTTGCTTAGAAGGTGTGTGTATGGATGTGTGTAAGTGTGACCTGTGGATCTCAGAGTCCAAACCTACCTGCTCATCTCCCAGGACTCGGAAATGATGAACCTCTTTAATGAGCGAATCAGGACAGCCGGCTTGAGACAGAGAAAAAAAAAAAAAAGTAATACAGTCAGAAGGCATAGAGTTAGCATGGGCTGAAAGAGCGGTCAAAAGCTCTGAACTTATGAGCTAAATGACTTTCTTTCTTTCGTGGAACATAAAAGAAAATATTCTGAAGAATTTTGGGGTTCACATAACATTGGACCCCATTGACTTGCATTGCATGGACAAACAGATGAGTAAGACGCAGGTTTGGAACGGCGTTCGAATCACTTTGGTGTTCACTTTGGAGTTCAAAGAAAATACCAATGTACCATATCTCTTTAAAATCAACATGAAATCAAAATGAAACGATGCTTGTCATAAGCTCTCATAAACAATTTCAAATCACATGGTTTGTAAAACCCGGACAAACTAGATTAATTTCTGTTCCAGGTTTAAACAGGTCTATAGGAATGCAATGTTTGCATTTACAATCATGTTTGCAAGGAACCTTTACTTTTTCTGTGAAGCCAGTGTGAAATCCCATCCTGCTCAATGTTATATCAGAAGTTTGTGTTGGTTTTGTCTAACGAATACAGCTTCGTTATTCAGGCCGATGACATAACACTTGTCTTTTTTTTTTGGTCTAAATCTATTCATTTTCTCAAAAATGCATCAAAAAGGCAATTGACAATGACATGAATCCACCACTTGACATTAATAATTTCTGAATTGAAATTCCTTTTCATTTATTAATTGTTGTGGGCATGAAGTCAAAAATGTCAGGGTTATGTAACTGTTCTTATATCATAACGAAGAAAAAAGCCGCTTAAGCCACTAAAAGGATGACATTCCCAAAAATAAAATCTTATTATTTAGTTATTAGGCATAATCTTTTATTATTATTGATTAGAAGAAAAAAAAAGCAAAGAAGCAGTTTTGTTAAAGTCAAAGGTACGACTAACGACAGAAACATGCAGGGAGGAAAAAACATTCAACAGGAAATGATATAGAAAGGACCACTTTAACAACTTTAAAAGTCTTTAAAAATATCAGATAATTTAACAAGGTATAGTTCAGGTTGCAAAATGTCATATGGTTTGAAATTAATATTTATGAATTAATAAAACCTTAAAAATAATTTAGATGTGTACACTCATATGTATTTAAGGTGTAAAGTAGATATGTTATTAAAATTTATTTGATGGTTAAACCACATTATATTTTTGAATCATTAAATTGAAATTTTTGTTGGTCCCTTTTGCTGACCCATCATACCACATCAAAAAAAAAGCAAAGAAGCAGTTTTGCTAAAGTCAAAGGTACGACTAACGACAGAAACATGCAGGGAGGAAAAAACATACAACAGGAAATGATATAGAAAGGACCACTTTAACCACTTTAAAAGTCTTTAAAAATATCAGATAATTTAACAAGGTATAGTTCAGGTTGCAAAATGTCATATGGTTTGAAATTAATATTTATGAATTAATAAAACCTTAAAAATAATTTAGATGTGTACACTCATATGTATTTAAGGTGTAAAGTAGATATGTTATTAAAATTTATTTGATGGTTAAACCACATTATATTTTTGAATCATTAAATTGAAATTTTTGTTGGTCCCTTTTGCTGACCCATCATACCACATCAAAACTGACCTGACCTTTCTCGTCTCGCTAGTTGACCAAGCAAGTATTGGTCATCTTATTTCGATGGAGGGGAAAAGCATGGAAAAAAATGTGATTGGACTAGTTTTGAATCGCAATTGGGCTGGCCTTGTTTTTCAGACCTGGCAACCCTGCGCCAGCATCCAAAACACAACATATGCTGGTCATTTCAGCTGGGCGTTCCTCATCAAAATGCAACAGGAAACGACAAGCGCATATATTATCATACATTATGCCCCATATCCTGTACTCGGGCGTACATAAACGCTAATGAGCGCTGCTCTTACAGGGAGGCCCACCCCATTTATGATACCGATACACACCCAACAGCCACCTCAGGGTCACGCTCTGAGAAGAGAGGCCTTTCATTTGAGCTGCCTAATCTCCAGGAGAGGAGAAGCACCTTAATGGGGAACAGAGCCAAAGAAGTCCCTCGTATTCCCGCTCTGCAGAAACAATTCGCTGTTAAATCCACACAGGATAATTATGGATGGCAAATGAGTGAAGATGAATGTGCGTGAGCTTAGGCAGGGGCCCGACACCAAAGTGGCAGTCCAATGCTCTCCTCTAACAAGCGTGGTGTAATGATGTGGTCCCTTTTGTGGGGAAACGTTTTGCTTTGGACCAAAGATTCCTGCTACACACCAATTATCCCTTAGGAGACTAATGACTACTTTAATCTGCATGTGATGGCACTCACACACACACACACATCTTTGGACATCTTCGTACACCTAAGTAGAGTGAAATGGAGTGATCTCTAAAGACGAATGTAGATAAAAAAGGCTGATAGCAGCTGAGTGCATGTAGTATAATACAAGCTTATGAAATCAGAGAGAAGAAATTTCACATCACAGACATTCTGCTCCCTGCCGATCCGCTTTTGTGCGAAAAGATGAATATGCCAGCTGTCGGGGTTCATTTGAGACCATTAAGTAACATATTCACAGCCACAAATGACAGTAAATTTAACCCTGAAAATCCGTTTTAATCCTAATGTAATCGTAATATCAGTTAATCTTATAATCTTAACATTTCTATTTTAT